GTTTTCTTGCCATGCTGCGGACGCAAGCTTCAGACGAAGAAGTGAATGATGTATGCTCCCGGCGCCTATTTATTTTATAGTCGCACCGGTAGTTATCACTGGTTTTGTGGTCCAGGGTCACAAATACTCCTTTATTGCTAACTGCACTAAGATGAAGAAAGTATCATTAGCAAAGTGCACCAGCAAGAGAAACAGCACAAAGTCATACTATAATCGATTGATGTTCGCTTATTTGCTTTCATGTAAAAATGCCAAAAATCAGTGCTTAAGACTGAGGTAAGTGAGTACTATTATACTTTAATGCAGCTGAACAATACACTAAAAAGGTCCAATGTCCATCACAGGAGCAACAAACCTCTTCACCTTTATATAATAATCATTAACATTTTCTTACCATATGCAAGTTTGAATATATTCAGGGATCCTTCAGTCATGGAAAACACGGAAATATCAGGGAATTTTAAAAAACATGTCAAGAAAAGTCATGAAGCCTAATGCAAACATAAAAATCATATAATTCATGGTAATTTCTAGATAGATAAAACAGATTTATAGATTTAATTATGTTTTGCAAAAACATGTCAAGAAAAGTCATGAAGCCTAATGCAAACATAAAAATCATATAATTCATGGTCATTTCTAGATAGATAAAACAGATTTATAGATTTAATTATGTTTTGTTTTAAAATAGTCCTTATGTATAGTAAAACCCACAATTTGATTTGTGGGTAGTTATTTTTTTTAATTAATTGTTCAAAACCATTCACAAAATGGTTTTTAAAAGTCTATATTCAATGATCACAAATGTCCTATATTGTGCACAAATTCATTCATCAAAAATACTTTTTATATTGCTTTTGGTGAGCATTATAAATGTATTAGTGGTAGACAGGCCAATCCATCTGATCTGTCTTCAAGCGTTATACTAGACTTAAAGGGGTAGTTATGATGTTGCTAAAAAGAACATTATTTTGTGTATTTGGTGTAATGAAATGTGTTTATGCGGTTTAAGGTTAAAAAAACACATTATTTTCCATATAATGTATATTATTGTTGCTCCTCTATTTGTGATTGGTCGAATACCTCAAGCGTGTGACGGAAATGTTATGCCAATTAACATACTGTGATGCCGTCTCCCAGCAGGACGAGACAAAACCAATAAAACCCATTACAAACGAGGCATTTGTTGCATCCAGTGGGGACATAATTAC